TATTATTTGTATTATACTATTGGTAGAGATGAGATTTTGGTGGAAACGATAAACAAAGCAACAACGTTAAACATAAAAAGAGACATTAGATAAGTTCTCTCTGCTGTTTAGCGCTATCTTCTTTTCATTCTTAGCGCTATCTTCGTTTCAGTAGCGCTGCTCTTTTGTTTATTGCTCCGCCCATCACTCGCCCCACCATCGTACTGCGCGGCACTGCATACGGCATAAGCTTCTGACTCACGAGCTAGCAAGCCACGCGAAGGAGTAGAATAGCGGAATCGCAACGAGAGTCAATCCTTTATCAGAGCGATCGAAGCGAATGTTGTCTTTTCAGTCGTGTTATTCCTATTATCGGCATAACGATTATAAGAGCTACGATATAGTTGGCGTTTTGATACGTACAACGAGTATCATCATTTTCGTATTTTTGTCTTCTTTCTATTGACTTTCCTTAACTTTCCATCGATTTTCCATTGATTTTCCTTTCCATTGACTTTACTAATTTGTCTTATTCTATCTTTTGATTTATGATTTTTTAGCTTTAAGTGTTTCATACTTTAGATTTTATTTTTTAAACTTAGGTTTTTCATATTTTAGATTTTATTTTAGTTCTAGGTTTTATTTCGTTGAACTTTAGATTTAGATTTCTTTAGCTGTAAGAGTTCTCTTTAATTTACTAATTTTCCTTAGTTTATAGCTACAGTACTGGACAAAATAAATCATACACCTTTCAACAAATTGAATTTGTTAGTATAACTATTCTTTTAACAAGCAAATAGATTATTAGATACAGGAAAGTCGAAGCATTTCAAAGTATTTAAATAAAGAAAATATGAAATAATAAAAATTATGCTCAATTCTTTTGTAAAAAAATTATTATTCAATATTGTTACATTTTGCCATGGACAAAATATATCATACATTTATATAGTATAACGTAGGGAACTATCAATATTACATTTCATCGATACTCTCGACTAATTTCTTTAAGTATTCAGGATTAATTTCCTCCCAGGCCTTCTGGAGTGTTGCATAGTACGATGTCTTGTCACTTACGTTCGTTTTATTCACGTTCACGTCCAAATAAGCCCACAAATTTTCAATTGGGTTTAAATCTGGTGATTGTGGCGGCCATTCGAGCAGTTTTACCTTATTAGATTTGAAAAATGCAGTGGTTTTCTTCGCCTTATGCTTAGGGTCATTATCTTGCTGGAAGATAAAGTTGTTTTCTAAACCCAATTTTAAAAGAGATTCTTCCAAATTCTCGCACAATACATCAATATATCCTTCTGCCGTCATAATGCCTTCAATTCGAGCCAAATTACCGATACCAGACCATGTAAAGCATCCCCATACCATAATATTACCGCCTCCGTGTTTTACAGTCTTCTGAATATTTACTTCTTTAAGAGCCTCACCAGGTTTTCGCCACACCCTAGATCGCCGTTTTTGTCCAAATAATTCAAACTTGCTCTCATCAGACCACAATACTTTTTTCCAAAAGTCTAGAGACATATTCGCGTACTTCTTGGCAAACTCGAATCGCTTTTTCTTATTTATTTTATTGATGAAGGGACGCTTTGATGCGAACACGCTTTTTAATCCAGATTCCCTCAACCTACGACGCACAGTACGACTGCTGACAGTCAGGTTCATCGATTCCACAATGTTTTTTGATGATAGCTTCGGATTTTGTTTTACCATTCGAATGATTCTGGTATCGTCACGAAAAGTTGTAGCCCGCTTTCGACCTTTTCCGGAATAATTTGCCACAATTCCATGTGTTTCATATTTTCTCCAGATGTGTTGCACTGCTCCAACAGAGATCGAGTATTTATTAGCAATTATCCTAAAAGATTCACCATTCTGTCGGTCGCGAATGACCAGATTTCGGATATCAAGAGAAATTTGCTTCCGTGACATTGTTCTTGCTCGTCACAGTTACTACTAACTCACCGAACACGTAAATTCTAGTCGTACATACAATGTAAACAAACAATAGAATGACGAACAACAGCAGAACGATGAAATGTAATATTGATAGTTCCCTACGTTATACTATATAAATGTATGATTTATTTTGTCCATGGCAAAATGTAACAATATTGAATAATAAATTTTTTACAAAAGAATTGAGCATAATTTTTATTATTTCATATTTTTTTTATTTAAATACTTTGAAATGCTTCGACTTTCCTGTATCTAATAATCTATTTGCTTGTTAAAAGAATAGTTATACTAACAAATTCAATTTGTTGAAAGGTGTATGATTTATTTTGTCCAGTACTGTATATACTCAATTTTTGCATCGAAAAATTTACTATAAAATAATAGAATTATCTAAACTTAATAAATTCAAATTAAAGAATATATTGAGATTTATAATTAATATTACTAAATTCCATTTTAAAAAACTTAAACAAACATCATTATTTTAAAAAATGTCTGTTTAGCATGGTATGGGCGTACCTTCGGTCAGCATTCTTCTCCACGAAGTTATCAAACTGATGTACCACGCGAAAGTGAAGGATCCAGTTTTCTTCAGGATCGGAACTTGCGGTGGTATTGGCTACGAAGGTGGTACGGTGATTATCTCGGAGGAGGCCGTGGACGAGACGATGAAATCTCAGATGGAACTGGTCAGTCTAAATTAAATGTCCCATATAATAAATAAAAAGGAGCCAATAATTCAACAATCTTCATGACAAATCTTTTGAAACCTATTACATAAAATAATAAAAAGAGGATTATAAACGCGAGTTTCATGTTGCAGGTGGTGCTCGGGAAGGTGGTGCGGAGACCGGCCAAGCTCGACCGACAGCTAGCCCGCGATCTTAAAGCCCTGGCCCACCGCGACGATCCCTACGACACCGTGATCGGCAAAACCATGTGCTCCAACGATTTCTATGAGGGCCAGGGTCGTCTTGACGGCGCGTTCTGCGAGTTTACGGAGACCGACAAGATGGAGTATCTCACCAAGCTACAGAAGGCCGGCGTGGTGAATATCGAGATGGAGAGCATTTGTTTCGCCGCTTTAACGCATCATGCCGGCATCCAGTCCGCCGTTGTATGCGTGACACTGTTGGACCGACTCAAAGGCGACCAGGTATATCTAATCTACGTATTTTTTAGACACCAAGACATCACCGTTTCGCAAGGAACTCGGTATATGGATATATAAGTTTCGTATGCTCGTCGCAAATAGCGCGATCATCAAGACACCTCTGTATTAACTTTTACAGAATTTGTAAAGATTCTTATGGCATATAGTAATGGTATAGTATGGCATATAGTATATCACTCCTTGAGTATAAAATGATTAAAAAAGAACGATAAAATTTCACAGTTGCCACATGAAGCCTACCGATTTATATTCAGGCCGATTTCATCGTATATATGTTAATATGCCATAAGTAAAACGATTAATGTTATCGTATTGCTCCTTGAATCGATCATGCTATACGTCTAATCGATTGCTTTCGTAATTTAAAAAGGTTTTAGCGCCCAAGGAAGTGTTAGAAGAATGGCAGATGCGACCGCAGACGCTGATCGCCCGCTACATTACCACGTATCTTCAACGAAAGGGTCGTCTCTCACTGGAAGGTCACGGTTCTATGTATGTGAAGAGTCCGCGTCGCTTTAAACTGGTACAACAGGAATCTGAGAATTACGACTAATAAGTTGTCGCGACGAGAGTTCGAAGATAGCTATAAAGATCTCCCGGGGTTACAGTGCGATCGGATACATCGGCTCGACTTTAGAGTCGGCGATCGCAATTAATTTACGTCGCACAAATCGCCTCGTATTCGTTTATTGTTTATTTATTTGCAAAAAAATAATTTTGCTCGCAAGAAAAGTCGCGTAACAAGCGACGTATGAAAAAAACGATGTATTTGAGATAAAGATAGAAGATGGACGAAGAATTAAAAAAAAAAAAACAAAACAGGAGCAGATTTGATCGATTGAAATATTATACGGCGTAATAGAATTTTTTAAACGTCTCTTGAAAAACGTAAAACACACACATATTTAAAAATTCCTATTATTATATCCTCCCTTCCTATATGATATTTAAATTACTAACAAATTACTATAAATCTGCCTCAATATTCAAATTTTTCTTACTTGATGAAATCCTTGATTAAAATATTCAAGATCCTTTTTATCCGACAAGAAACTTTGAGTACAAATGATTGCATAGCTAAATAGCACAATATCTTGTTTTGTATTTTATTTTGGCGTGTATCATTCTTTTTCAATATTTAAATGGCTCAAAATTAAATGAATTTTTTTTTAATTGGAAAATTGCCTGTGATTTGATTGTGTTTTATGACTTATTGATAGTAATTTTAGCCAGGAATTATATAATTTCTCGCATTGCGAGAAAGCCATTATACGTGCGACAATGACACGGTGATTCCTGAGACTCGCGAGAAAATTAACGACTATCAATGTCGACGCGACCGCCAAAGCTTCACCGTTTATTTCGCGCGGTGTTCCAAGTACAAAGTGTGCAGAAATTTACAAACTGCGCTCGAACGAGAAAACCATGCACATTTTTCACAAATACATATCTTTTGAGATCAATTGCATCATCTTTGATTAATGCGGCTCGTAATTAATAAATATATCTTGTAATCTGGGATATCGAAATGAGATTGTCACTTAAATTCTTGTCTACAAAATCATGTTGTTTAAAAAATCATCAATAAAGCATGACATTGAATCCCAGATATGTAGAATTGAAACGGCAGCCATGATAAGGAATTGAGATAATCAGAAGTTAATCAAAATTACGGTGCAATTGGTCGCATAGTTTCGTAGAGATTTAATTTTAGAATTCACAGGGACAAGAACGTACAGCACGTTCGGATATTCGCCGATTAAACATAAGAAGATTTGTTTTCTTCTGTTATAATACCCTAAATGAATGACGATGATTGTTTTGTAAATTTTCAGAGATTTATATTGAGAATTTAGACCAAAAATTCGCTAACGGACCTATCCGCGATTTATTATCCGAAGTTTGCGTGTTGTATCGAGAGCAGTTTTAAGAGATATTGTAAATTTAGCCTCGCGCAATCGCCGGCGTGTAATATAGACACACGCAGTGATGTGAAGAATATATATACATATGTATTAGCACTCTTTAGGAAGTTCGCGGTAGCACACATTCATAGTCGAAGAACTAGCGTTTTCGTTCGATGGTTTCCGTAACATAGGCCGGGGACTATCACATGGGGAAAAAAATTTGTGATGCGGAACGGAAGAAAAAAGAATAGTCAATAAATATCGCTTTTAATCCTTTCTCAATTTCCCGTTACGTCGGTCCATCAAAAAACCTGTATAATGCCATGCGCAAGATATTTATAATTAGAACTATGTATTGTATCTCATTATTGTATGCAAAAAGTGCGATTTGAGTTTTCTATAAACACAGTTGAAATAATAATGTATAATCGAAGGTTCTCGATTACGTAAAGTATCGCACTATAATATCAATGTGCTATAACTAGTTAAAATGGCAACGACCGATTTATCACGAACAATTTAATTATTATCTGCAATAATGTACGTCAGACTGCCATGCTAACGTTTTCTGTAAGTAGGTATTGGCTGATACACCAATAAATGTAATTTCAAGTGTTCAATGTTATATAATTTTGCTTCGAAATTTAGTTCAACAACGAGAAACTCACGAATCTTCAGTCATTCTCATATAATATAAATAATTATGCATTTGTAATTTGTATATTTTTGTCAAAATAACGGACAAATTTCTATGTCACAAAATTATAATCAGTTTTTTCACACAAATATTTAATATTTGTACGCATTCATATATATTTAAACGATTTATATGAATCGCGAGCATTTTTAATGCGAGAAAAGATAATAACCGCAAAGAAGTTATTAATCACAAATTAGTTAGAAATTACAAAACTATAGAGGAAACTATGGCAAAGTAAATACACGGTAATCGTGATATTTTGTCTATAGGGTTGGACAAAAGACATTATTAAAATACATTTCAGAATACAAATTTTTTCAGATTTTACTCGATAAATTTTTACGGACACACTCGTACTACGAGATATTAACAACGCGAAGATTTTATTCGCAATGCGAAATCTCTAGATAAAATTAACACTGTATTTTATTCATAATTTTATTTATGTCAAGTATAACGTTAAACAACATATATTTGAAATACTGTCCAGCCCTGAGTGCCCACGTTACTATGTTCGTTATTATTAATATTCTACTACCGTAGAAAAAGAGAGATAGCAAAGTTGTATAGTTGTATGATACACCTTCGTTAAGATTGTTGCTAGCAAATGGGTAATAAATACGATTTGCATTTATCATTCACATTCATCGCGACGCAAGGAACGGCGGAGCCTAGATCGATATGTAATATTGTATTGATCACTGACATTGTTATACGGTTTCTCCTCTCTAATTTATATTTATCCAAGAAAAATTTTCGTTACGGCACGTCGTTAGTGTCAAACAAACGAGAATTCTTTTCATTGTACTTACCATATTTTCTTTGCAATCTGCTATCAACCAGAAACACTCATTTCATTCGCGAGATATATCGAGATATTAATTTTACATTTTTTAATTCTTTCCTAGATGCCCGCAATAAAATATACAAAATATTCTAAAAAAATTGAGCACATATATACCAGAATATGGCCTTCAGATAATCTTTCCGTTTTACGAATTTTTAAAATTGAAGATTTCAATACAAAAAAAAAGGAAACAATGGTGTAATTAATTTTTTTGTAGAGAAAAGAGAAGTGAAATTGTGTTGAATTTCCGTTTTCTTTTTAAAGCTAGTGTGCCATTGTTTTGCGCTAAATATTTCGTTTCATTTATTAGAAACGAATAATTATAAGTAAAAAAATTTCAAAGCACATACTTTTAAGAAAAAAACACCCTTTTTTTGTGCATATCATTTTCGGAATAACCGGGTATATTTTTTCTCGCCGATTCTTCATCGTCATACGTGTTTCCTTTCGTTCCACGAACAACGACATATCTGTGATGCATATTTATAATATGTACGAGAAATATTAACAAAAAATGTGTACCTAACGTTGATACGTATACATATAAGACTCGATCTTATCTACTCTCTTTGCGAATCCGTAATGCTTACTTCTCCTACTCACGATGTTACAACATTTACTAAAACCTTCATTGTTGCTCCCCTCTTGGATATAACTATTATAATATTAATCTATAATCAAATGTCCCGTCAGCGGGATGTTCTGTTATTCGTAAGTTCGTTAATACATATATATTCAGCTATCTAATTGTATTCTCATTGTATAAACTTGATTATTTATATATTAATCCCCACGAGAGACGTCTAACGTGTCCTTTTAAAAATTAATTGCTGATATATGGGTTACAAGAAAAAAAAGAAAGAAAAAACACGTTGTTGATTGTACGTTATAAAAGGACAATAAAAAAAAAATATTATGTACCTAATAGCACTGTTCCTTATCCTTCCATTTTCATTCCAAGTTTGAAAATGATAATAAAAAAAAAATTATTTATCCGATTCTTACGAAAAACTGTTCAGTATCTAATTGAGAGTACAGAAAGAACGTAATGCGGACCGAAGATACAAGGATGCATATTTATTCTGTAAAATAATATACAAATAAATAGTACGTACGTGTATGCGTGAGAATAAATACAACATATATTATGCTTCGTAAATCCTAGGATAATGAAAGGCAAGGATTTCGCGAGAGAAAGAATTTTCATTTTATTTTTCACAGTTTTCTCTCTTACGTTAGAAAGCCGATCACTCCATCGAACTTATGGTAGATGCTTAAATATAGATCGGCTTTTACTTTATGAATTTCGATCGATAAGTAAATCCGGTTTGAAATCTTATCTCTCATGGAAAGTGCGTATATAAAATGGAAAATAGAATGGCGAGCAACGACATATTCCGAGGAATCTCGTCTCGATTTTAAGTATCGTCAATGCAGAACTTCAAGAATGTTTTAGAAAGCAAGGATTCAATCGATATAGATATTGGCATGAAAATAATTCTTATTCTTTTACATTTTCTCTCGCAAGAAGAGACCTCTTATTTTTTCCGATGTAATATAAAAAATCTCCTCTAAGAAAATTTAAGTTTCTTTAAAAACTTCTTTTCTTTCTTATAATATAAAAAAGAAAATGTTCTACTTTTCTCTTTTATGATAAAATGATCAGGGATTAAGAAACTTATTAATAAAATTCAGATACATTAAAATTTAATTAGTGATTGGAGAATAATATCTATCTCTCTTTTTAATTTTTAAAATTCGTAAAGAACGTTAAGCATATATCGTTATTCTCCTCGATTCATTTTCACACAATAATCAGGAACGACATGTCGTCGAGTAGAAGGACCTGGATATGAAGAGCGATTTTATTAGACTGTAACTTCAACTCTTTACACAATGTGATCAACATTGTTAATATACAATTAGGTGTAGGTATCGACACAGAATATCGAGTATAGAGCGCACTACACCTCGTCATCGAGCGGGCGATGATGGGGTAATAGTAACGATGGATAGTGTGATGATATAGTGATAACGATGATATAAATGTTTAGCCGTAACGATCTCACTACGCTAATTGTATCTTGCTTAAAACGCTTTTTTAAATGCGGGGAGATTCACACATATGCAATCTCTTCGTTCGCGTTCGTCTCGCGAGAGCGACGCCCTCGATTATGTCATAGTTAACTCTCTCAGAGCACTTCCGTCTGCGACAGAGAAAACAATGGTTTGCGACAAAATGGGTACTAAATATTGTATTGACATCGAGAAGCGCGTTATATGACATCGAACCGGGATCGAATAAAATTCAGTATCAAAAAAATTGCCTATTTTTACAAAACATGTCGAGAGAAAAATGGGTTTTCTCGCTTGATAGAGACTGACCTGGTCCCGTGTCTTATAACGCGCTGTAACGGGAGTTACATGCGGTACCTCCTATGTGACGTAATCGGAGTTTATGTCTGATATTTTCGTTCCTTATGTCTCTACATATACAAGGGCCATAACTGCTTTCCTTTATCGCCGTCGTTCGGTAGAAAACGCAAATAAAACCATGCCGGCTGCGACCAACCTCAATGCAGTGGAATTCCTTTATAACAAATACCACGAAACCACGATCGATTTTGCGAAATTAAACTTTCGTTACATCCAATACAAGCTGCAGATCGTTTTATGTGCATAGATTAAAGAGATTTCACCGCATTCTGTTATAACGAAATTTCAAATCTTTTGATCGTTGAATTATTCATTTCGAAAACGTCTCAATCGACATTGTAAATTCCGTAGTAAAATCAATGTATTTAAATGCAACGAGTGTTTTCTCTGTCCAAACGGAAATTGATCCTCAACTACTACGATGAGATTAAATTTAATCCTAAATAATTTTAAATATCACAAAAAATATTTACGCTATTCCTTTTTTTAACTTTGTCTAATATCTTTATACATGGCCATTTTTCTTTCCTCATTTTTCATTATCAAGATAAGCAGTGAGATATGAAGTTGATGCTCTTTTCCAGTCTGTTAAAACGCCATTTATTGATAATAAGCGAGCAAATTTGAATTAATACCCACATTATTCGAATTTTATATAATCATAGAGTTGAGGAATAATTCTATTCTCTAAAAACACCTCGCTATCTTATCCTCTGTTCGTCGCGGCGTCACAATCGCGTTGAACACGCCTAAGAGATTGGATAAAATCGTCGGATATATTTATCTTAAAGTATAATAGTAATGAGATGATAATATGTAATAATAACGCGTGTCTATTATACGCGTGAGTATCTTTAAACTACGTTATATCAAATGTATCGAGTACACTGGAACGATATCTAAACTTAATCAGCCTCTTTATAATCAACAGCTATATAAAACTCATCCTGATGTATAGTAAAGTTGCGTCTTAACTATGTATACGTATATGTGTATGTAGTAAATATACCGTGAACGCGAGTCGCTCGAGTCCCCCGCCGAAAGGACTCGACACTTGACACATCTATAAATCGCATATTTATATCTAATTTACGTGAAGCCTGTAAACGGGCAGGTCGTACAAGTGTGGTTTATTTGTCAGCTTGTTATCACGGATATTAGAATATACAATTAGACTAAAATACAATAGCAATTGCTTAATACTTTGTAAACAGAATCATTTATTTCCCGGGGATCACCGACAATAATCAAAATCAATTTCATCGACATCGATTAATAAATAAACTGTAACTAATAAGTATTTTGTCCCTTCTTAATTTTACTTACAACAAAATTCAGTGTCACATAATATTAATCATCCCTTATAAAAGATCAACACTATAAATCGTTTTGTAAAGCAGAATGCAGTATTCATTTGGCTTTTTGCGCTCATTCCGAGCCTTAAAATTAAAAAGAAGAACAAAGATATCATGTCGATCTCGATAAAATCGCAAGTTGCGCATTGCAGACTTGCCCGTTTATCCACTTCGTATAAGTAAGAATTAAAATCGTAATTATAATAGTATAGTCACTTAAATCAATCTTATGGCTTATACGTGGCTACGCGTTCTATCACAATTCGCCTAAAAAATAAAAAAAAGAGAATTATGTTTATTCTACATAACTGAAATCCTGCCATTATCGATTGCAGGCGTGAGAATGCATCCTCTGCCATTCGGGAAAGAAGGCACCAACGAGGAGCAACAAAAGTCGCATTAATTTTCGATTCTCATCCACGCTGAAGCAATTCATCCGAATCGCACATCGCTCAAATTATCCCCGTTTGTAAGAATAAAATAAATCGATCGACTGGAGGAGAACAGAGCGAGAATCGAGTATTGAAGCTTGAGCATAGCGAACGATTCAGCCTGGTCCGTATCGCGAAAATAATAAAAGACTTTAGTGAAACAACGATTAACCCATTTTTTTGAGAAAATTAATCAGCGTTCAATTGTCTCAATTTTAATTCTAAGATTGAATTAAAATTAGGAGGATATTTTAAAATTAAATTCCTGACATTTTCAGAAAAATAGTTCACCATTGTTGCATTAAAATCCTTTAATCGCAAAAACATCGGTATTAACGATGCCGTAAACTTGCCATAAACTTCTCTCATAAACTCCGAAATTTAATCCATCTGATTTTACAATTCCATCTAGAAGATATTGAATGTCGTAGGAATTATTAAATAAATATCGTGGCATCCCTCAAATCGTGATTTCAGTGTTATGTTACTAGATATTACATCTAGCTTGCCAAAAATGGAACAGTAGGACGAGATGGAACATATAAAAAAAAGAAAAAATATACGAATTGTCTCGTTTCGCGAGAGAGATTTGTCCTACTTTTTGGCACACGCTTCCTTTGTCTACCATATCGTGGCTTTAGGCCATTTATTACATAGCAGGGACATAAATCACGTTTTGAAAATCTTTTTCGATGTAATGATTCATAGTAAATATTATAAATATTATAACAGAATTAAATTGCAATTGAAATAGCTTTGCATTTTCCAATCTACGATCGTTCGCAATTTGAGAATTTAGAATTAAAAATACGACAGGCCCGCGTTTAACGCCGAATATGCCACCAAAGAACAACCCAGAAGAAAGTTTTTTAAAGAAAAACATGACTTATGTCATCCGCCAGATAAACAGCGAAATCGCGAATTTTACTCGCGGTCAGATGATTCGACGAATCGCCTGCCTGTATGCGATCATTCGCATACATCCTCTTCTCCTCCGTCCAATCATTACCCTACGACAACACGAACAAATGCTATTGAGTGAGCTACATACACAAGAGTATGCGTTACTAGACCGTTACAATTAATGTAAATATATTGTCGGATATATTATCGCGCGGATCCTCAGAAACTCAAGCATGCCCGAGTTCTTGACAAAGTGTCCGCAACGGATTTCGATCAACGGGAGTCGCTCGAGATCCTCGATCAGACCCGCGGAATAATTAGCACGTCGTTAATACAAGAGCACAGTTTAGACGGCTCGCCGGATTATGCACACCGTTTACTTTCCAAAGCCCCGCGTAAAATCGAAGCCGTGACTGGCGAAAGTTCACAAGTTCATCCGCTGGTGTTCCGACATGATCGATATACGTTGTGGTTCTCACCCATTAATTCTACCATATTAATCTTCGCTTCTATACGTTTAAGGAACAAGGACGCTTATAATTCAGCCCTCTGGTGTTGGCCTGAGCATCACGCTATCTCAGATAAACGATATATGTATCGCTACACCGCCACGCGCGGCTTCGCAATTTACGGCTTTGATTCGTTTTAAGATGAACAGCGCATATATAAAAGCGCATACATCCATTTTATTAACTCTTTGAACCGGTCTTGCATTTATAAAAAACACGATTAACATAGAATATTTCAAATTAGAGAACGAAAAGAATAAATTCTTTAAATTTTTTTCTCGGTTTTTCTTGACCCAATTTCATTTTTTATATGAGATAACGATTATGGTTATATCATAACGATCATGGTTATATAATTCTTTCGAAGAAAGAAAAAATAGGTTTTTTTTTTCGTAACTAAATATCTTTCTCAAAGAGTTAACAATGTTCTTTTAATTTCCGATACAGCCATAAGCTTTACAGAAAGTGCATTCATTTGCGATCGTTAACAATACCTTTTCCTACCCGATACAATCATAAACATGACATGCATTCCGTAAACTTATCACATGCTTCTCCATTCGTCCTCCATTCTCCTTCGTTACTATCTACGTATTTACAGGACTAGAGTCTTACTTAAAAATTTCGGCTGCCTGTTCGAGAAGGATCTCAAATCTGGGATGACCAAAAATCATCGAGCAAGCAGAAAATTATGAGCATAACGCGTGTGTCATCTTAAGAACTAATCTTACCTTTAAATATACTACGCGATTAGTACCCACCGCTTCTCCTACGATAAGAGTTGCTCACCAAGGAAAATTCTCTTGTTATTCCAGTTAGCACCATTCTCTACGGAGTCCCATTGAAACACCCTTTAACACGTATCGCTTGATGTTAATATTTTATGTCTCTAAACTTAACCTTCGTTAAGGTACATTTTTGTTATTCATTTTACCCTAATTCGATGTTTTTTTTCTTTATTACACACACACAAATTGTATTTTAAATTTACTTGCTGAAATAATAATTAAGTTTCTCGGTTATATAATGGCGCGTTTATACATATCATGATATACTATATGTGTAATAATTATAAAATGATTTTTTTCTATCCTTTCTTTTTTCCCTAAAAATTTTCTAACATAATTTTAAATTCATTTCTTTAAATTTACCAAGCTTAAAGCGAGATGGTATGTTTTCTCCTGGAATACGTAATTTTTTCAATTATCACATCTATTTCTAGTTTCTGCAAATTTTCGATGCGATATGTGTTAATTAGCGTCGCAAAGGTCTTGTATCCAATTTCGGTCAATTCCATCAAAAACACTTAATCTGATTATCATTGGGCCAATGTTATGTTAAGTTTTAATGAATAACCGTGTTATTCATTAAAACTTGCTCTTCTGTCTCTCTTTTTATTTCTCCCATCGCGAAAACATCAATTCTTTCCACAAGGAAAGTTTCGTTTTATTATCGAGACGATAAAGTTCTTTCGTTTGACATCGATGATCTCTTACGAAGCGTCATACGTGTCTGTCATGTTCGATCCGATCGTAAAATAACAAGTTTAAAAAAAAAGCCGACATTTGAGAATGAGATGATTGATGATACCGATAAATATGCAAAATTCTAAATATTGTCGACTTTAACAAATTTGCAATCTTCTATTAATATAGAAATACATATTTCAATGTAATGAAATATTTCGCGATTCGTTGATTTTGATATTTGAATTCACAATATGGAACACCGAGCTCTGTACATATTGTCGCGAACGTTAATGAAAATGGAATTTAACAAGAGATTATATAAAAACAGATCTCATTATACACGTAATAAATTGTTCTCTTCTCGTCCAACTAGAATGTATAGATTTTAATCTCTCAACTAAAATGTTATCTAATAATCGAATTAAATTCGAATCTATTTTACATATAGCTTATAATAAGCTGAATATTTTTCAGACTATATATACATATTAATAAATCGCTCATTTTTAAATGTTATAAACTTTTAATTCTCTAATATACTATACTAATTTTTTATAAATCCTTGATTTCTCTGTATGTGTGAGTTATTTTATATAAAAATAATAAAAGTTAACTATTTCATAAACTATTAATTTTTCATATGTATTATAAAAATTTATAATATAACAAAATAACATATACATATGTTGTTACATACAATTAATATAATCATTATAAATTTAGAAGTACTTAAAAATTTGTATAAATAAATTAATTATTTTCTTACAAAATTTTTAAATTTAAAAATTATTATTTAACGTTCACTTCGATACGTACAAAGATCACTGCTGTAAAATATTGGATATTTGAGATATCCGTTTTCTTATACTTCCACTTTATTATTTTCAGTTATTCAAAATACAATTTCTCATTAAACTCATTTCAACCAAATTAAATTTCGATCTTGCCATTCGTTACAGTTTCCCTTAATTTTTCTCCACTGTTCTTTTTCGCGATTTAGCGCAACACGAATATCTCTATGATAGATAGATTGTCAAAAATTACAGTCGTTTTGCCAGTCCTCGTTTTGTCCTGACTCAACTAGATACTAGTCGATACTTTGATTAGTTCTTCCCGAAGATGCCCTAATTTTTACCCGGAAATATTAAATCTTCAGTCGTTATTTCTCGAAAATTACATAAGTTATTTGATCGTGTAGAGGCGTATATGTAAATTCACAAGTAATATTTCAATATGTGATAAATAATTCTCATGTATGCATCTGTAAATCCATCGGTAATATTTGACATAATAAACAATTGAATATACGTAATGTTTTTCAAAAGCAAATATTTAATAGTCGTAAAATATGAAAAATTTGTCTGACATGAAGTGTGAATGTCTATGTGGTATATTTTAAAGTTAAATAGATTTAACAAGGATTGATAAATGTTACAAGAAAAAACCGTCAATACCGAGAAAAAGGATGAATTATCGTACTATAGATTGTGAGGAATCTTTCTACTATCATATCGGAATCCATCGTATTATCTTACTAGCATACCAGCATACCAGAGCGCCAGTTAAGTGTCTTTCGTTGAATCAGTTCGAACGACTCAGAGATAATCCGTCCGGACTAAAAATAAGAGTATCACTTCGATCCTGCGCAAATTGAGCCGAACATCGGCCTTTATAGACGAGTTTGAACGTCTGCCAACGATTTACATGGCTTGTCTATTTAGTTACCTATCTGCCTACCTGGATCAAAACGGAAATCTCCGCCGCTCTCGCGATATCGATTCATCTTGTGACCGACATCGGAAATTCGGGGCCACAAGAGAAAAGACGGTTCGTCCGCTCAACTTGCCTTCCTCCCTCAAGCACCAAAGACCGTTCTTGAAACATCGAAGTCAGCGAAATATTTAAGATGCCTCGAATATATAGAATACCTACCCAGGGAAATACAAAGTCAGCCTAAAGTCGATTCTCCAGTCACTCTCGTTCAATATTTTTCAAAGGCCTATTTTACATCGCTAATAAAAATTGGGTTGAATTAAATTTCTAGATTGTAAAATAAAATAAAATAACAAAATGTAAATCTAATTGTTCAGTGATTCTAGATTGTTGTTACGAAAAATCTAATAATCCATGAGACTTTGTTTCAGCGTTGGAGAATAAAAGAGGGTGAATTCGCAAAAAGTAGAAGATTCGGAATAATCTCAACCTCTCTCGCTTCGTTGGATCGTGTTTCCCGCCTTAAAAGGACGTGCTAAAATCGCGCGCGAGGATATCTTAAAAACTACTTTTGGCCAGAAACGCGCGCCGTTGCGACGTATAGCTATTGGATCTCTGTGATCACGAGAGCTTGCTGCTCCTCTTGGCGATGTATATAGGAAGGGCGTATCGTCCGGCGCGAGTCGAAAATAACTGAGACTTAATTAATGCATTTAATTAGTGCGAAACCGTGCTGGGTGTCTTTCTCTGCCAGACGTTAACCCTTTCGATGCGCGGAAAAAGGATGCCATGAATTTTGATGTAGCGCCGAGATTAATTCTTGATGCATAAAAGGTAATCATGTTCGCGTGCATGATATTAATTTGCAAACATTTTGACAGAATTAAATTTTTAACGGAATACAACATTTAACAACTTAATTATCTGGATACTTTTAATATTGAATAATTTCTCTGACATATATTTCAATTGCAAAAATTATCTAATATGCAAAGAGAAATAACACATGCGTAGATCATTTCTTTTTTTTATATGGCATCGAAAGAATTAACGATGTTTGAAAAATTCGATCCGTGTAAACTACATCCTTTTTATCGTGATCGCAAAAAAAAAATAGAGGTAGAGAAAAAGCACATCGATAATAAAGTCTGCAAAGATGTTATCAGAATTCTATTTACAAACTGTGAAAATATAATAATCCAAATCCAATTTGCCTAGAATAATTTCGGTATCGTCTATTGCAAAATGCATACAAATTTCATTGCATATATGAAATTAATATCAATAAACTTATTAAGTTTTTAACTAAATAGCAAAGTTACACAAACCTTCATAATTTTTTATACGTTCTTCCAACGTAAATTTATTTACTTATCAAATCAAGCAAAGTAAAAATTCTCCCTGTAGTCCCGCTGTCTATTACTCTTTATATACGAATTTAATAATTTTCTATACATATTACATCATATTCTGCGGTACATTTGTACTGCGATGAACATTAATTTGTAATTTTTGACTCGCATATAATTCGTAAAATATTCGACGTAAAATTACCGGTTCATATAGCGATCAACGTGTGCATGTTAAATAGCACCTTTGATCAGTACTGCACGTTGAATCTCTCTAGATCATCAATAATGCATAAGAACGCTCTAATAATACAGCGAGCGTAAATCGAAGCACGTACGGGTTCATAGTTCGGAAATGTAAAATTTCTCCCACGTCGTCATTTTCATTTCTGTTGAATACTATGTACAATACGGAGAAAAATTTCCACCATATACTCATACACACATGCACACGCACAATTTATAATCATAATATTCTCCCAAATATTCTCAAATCTCATGTGGCAAATTATCTTACGATTTAATGATGAAACTTGCTATCGAACACTAAAATGTGGAGACACTAAGCACGGTTTCCAGTCGAGATTAATATTGGGCATCATCTCCGCACAAGCAGCGATGTTCCGTAATGATTCGATTATATCGATTCACGAACGTCGTTATTCGAGCGAGATAAGAGACAACCGGTCGTTTCACGCGGCCACTCTCCTAACATCGGCCATAGTTTAACTCTCTCTCGAGATCTCGCATCTACAACGATCAAGCTAACTATATACGTACGAGGAGTTAGTCAAACTATGGTTGATGTTATATGACATTAACGGGTCATCAATCACTCGTTCCTTAACGAGCCAGCCAGCGTATTTATGACTGATTGCGTTACTCGTGCGCTGTACGTAAAGATTGTGCCCGATCGGAGGCGTGATGCGAACTCACGAGATTAATTAATTCTCAGTTACCCGGACGATCACGCGTTCGCCCGTCATCATCGTCGTCTTAGTCGGAAATGTCCTCTCGAAGACGAGCGACGAATCTTAAATCGAGAGCGGTGCCTCGTCGCAACGGTGTACGAAGCCATGCTGCTGCTGCTGCTGCTGCAGCAACTGGGGTCATCCGCTGGTTTGCTCGGGCAGCAGTATGCTGACGGATTTGCGGTTCGCCGTGGAGACGGCATGATGGTGGTGATGGTGGCCGCCGTTTGCCGCCGCCAGGACGGACGTCGGTGGCGGCCGATGGGATGGCGCGACCACGCGCACCTCCGGCCTGGGGGAGGCCTCCCTTAGAGGGCTATCGACGCCCACCAGCTCCTCGGGGTTCGCCGCCAGCGATGCCGACGTTCTGCAACGACGACCGCGAAAGGCCGTTCGCCTTGTCAATATGCGGATTCGTCTCGGCCGCGTGAAACCGTCAGTCCATAAGATAAATTCGTATTCTTTGTATCATATTATCGATATCTGGAAGATCTTAATTTTGCGTATTTATTTCTTTTCTAGAATGTCTTAAAATATTTATTATAATTTGTTTTATTTCGAATTAGAAATAGAATTTCTCAAAAAGTAAAGCAGTGCGCGCGGATTCTTTAGAGCGATCTTACGGACTGAAAGTTAAAGGACAAGACGATAAAAAATTCATGCATTTTATACTATATAAGAATAAATTGAATTACTAAAACTTACTTAGGATTTGTCGATTAAATAAAAATTGGCTTTATATATCAAGTATTTTTCAACTGACACTTGAATCGGAAACCATTTTTGTTTCTTCGCAGAGGCATTTTATTAGTTTCGCAAAGTATCTCAATCGTTGTTTATTTAACGCCAAGTAAACAAACAGAATTCACTTACCTATGCTGCGGGGGCGGCGTGGGTGTTCGCGACAGAGGAAAACTGGCAACTTCCCTCGTCACCGAGAGCGACCGGATCGATCCGAATGTTTGGTCCGGCGATAAATTGGCTCCGACGGTTTGCACCATGCCGCTACTGGAACATGGACATCGGTTAATTGCCAATTAAACTGTCCGCTATACATGCATACGGTGTCGCTTTTGTCTAAACTCTTAAGTTTTCTCCGAACGTCTCTCTTCAAGTATGAATCAACATCAGCTTTGTTCTTGTTTCTTTAGCAGAAACGTGAATTAATCACTTGTCTGTACTGTTCAGACTAAGAGTGGACTAACAAGGGAAGTTCGGCAACCCGTAAACTCAAATAAACTTGAAACTTTACATAGACATAGATTTTATGGGGGTAGAAAAACCCTTCTGAAGATAAACTAATTCCTTTAATATTCTCTATTATCTTCGTTAAAGTTAAAAGAATTAAATAAGAATTACTGCTGCTTTTGTAAGATATAAAATAGTTCAATAGCCTTTAAAAAAAAATTCAGTTTTTAAGAATTTTAAAAGTCTTAAGTGTACACTTGATTATTTCTTGTTCTGAATAGAATTATTTCTTGTTTCAGAAGAAAATTTAAATAGTACATAAATTTTGAAAAATTTCAGAATAAAAAAATATATTTTAAACACTAATACTGATGTTATCAATCGTTATAAATAAATGGAGCAAGTAAAAACTTACAACAATAACAGTACACGGTTTCAGTCCGCTGCAATTTGTTCTAGTGTGTCAGTCTTCGATTAAGTATATTTAATGATCGCGTAGTGACGCAACGAATCCGTTCTTTTTCTAACAGGTCTTAAGAACTTTACACTTTGTTGCCTCGTACCAAGTTCTACCGAATCGTTACGGAGAAGCAATTAATGTTACACGCAAGGCGTTATTAATATTAATCTTTCTCGCATTTGCATCGAATAACATTCCGAACTGTGTTATTAAATACAACTTTAATTGCGTTATTAATATGATAGAAAAAGTCACGTTATAATATTCTATGATTTATAAAAAAAACTGTGATTTATTCTCCTTGATATTAAACTAATTCTTCTCGCAGATGTAAAAAAAATTACAGATTTTATCGATATGAAAGAATACGAATATATGACTCAGCTCTTCGAATAGATGAGAGGTTCGAGAGAGTGCAGAGAAAGATTTGCAGGCTGACATTTGAAAAGTCCCGCATATGTTACAGCTTATAACAGATATATGGCTTTTACGCGAGTCATCTTTCTCCCTCTCCCATTCCTGTCATGCCGTTACCATTTGTCAAGAGACGAAAAGCCTCCTGGATTTGAGAGCGGAGCAAGAAGCTAATCGATAACTTCGATAGGTATGGGTTATAGATATGCCTACGCATTCAATTTGCCTCTACACGCGAAGCATTTGTGCCCTTCGCTGACACGAGGAACGTCTCGTTTCTGTCCCACGCTCTACTAAAAGTCGCAACACTATTTTAAGATTTAAAACGCGACCGCGAGCGCAAAGATATAAGAGACACGATTTTTTTATGGAATATCCCTAAACGCGATTAAAACGCAAGATACGCGGAAAAATATGTTAAAGATCTCGCAATTAAGAGAATGAATCATAAATGGTCCGCATTTATTTGAAGAAAAAACATGTATATACATTTCTAATTAAATTGAAACAATTCGATCAATTCTTTGCAAAGATATTTACAAATCTTTTTAGTCTTTAACGCTAAATATTTCGCTAATTAAATGTGATTTTGAAGTTCTACCAAATAATTGAAACTATATAAAAAGAACAGATGTGATACCTCTTGTTATTAATATACATATATATTGTTAAGATTAATTTACAAAAGAATTAATTTTTCTCGGACATTATATGAATATTTTTTCGTTAAAATAAAATAAATGTTAAAAAATGTAGAAATTAAATTAAGAAATTTATATATGTATATAAAGTTTTTATATAAAGATTTATATACATATAAAGTAAAATGATTCATCTCAGCGCCCTATATAGTTCTCGATAAATGAGACGAGCCTGCTTATCTGATTGTGAGATAGATTCTGGCGCGACTTGCTTTCGTGCCGCGGGAATTCGTGAAACGATTATCGGGCCGAAGACGGAAAATAGTTAGTCAAAGTGGATGATTATCGATGTCTTGGGCGCTTCGGAAGACGCCATGAATTATTCATTCAAACTCGACTGAGCACGTCGATGGATGTCGAAGTTATATCTGACAAACTCGCTATTCCGCTCACGTGTGGAAATTCGCGAACTTTTCGGAAAAAGCGGTTTTCTCAAACAAATATCTGATAGATGAAGGTCTTGTCTCCTGAAAAGACCTCCGTCTCTCTCTCTCTCTCTCTTTTCTCGAAAAAAGGAAAAAGAATAGATTATAAATACAAAAGTGTAGTTTTGAAAATCGAAGCAACCATCATTTTAGCGAAAATTAAAAGCAGTTTATTTATAAATATGTAGACAGATTAAAAATGCTTTGAGACTGAAACACACAGGATTTTCGAGAAAATTTATGAAAAAAAATATTCGAAATCTGACCAAAGTACCTTAAACTAAGCTCTGAATAAAGCTTACTCTAAATTGAGCAAAACAATTTTATCTCTTATATGCGAATAATAACATTTTATATATCGCAAAAAAAGAATCTCTCGCGATTTTTATTCCACTTATCTACGGTAATATGTTTATTCCAATTTATGAGTCAACCTTATAACACCACACCGTATAAAAAAAAATACATGGTAAACACAGTGTGTTTATCACGCTGCCTTGTATAACCTTGAGCAGCATAAAATATTTTCTCACATAAAAAAATAACGAAGGGACTAAAAAGGATTTCTCGTATATATCATCATAAAAACTCCATACTTTCTATATAAGTACAAAAGCTCGAAAGTTATCGTTCTTCAGGATTTAACTTCATGCATTTAAATCAAAATTTATAAGTATAAAAACACACATAATACTGTTTTTATAGAGTTTCGATATCACGTGATGGCTTTGAAAAATTTCTGTTTCGTAATTTATTAATAAGGAACGTCATGTTGGAAATAATTATAATCGTTGTAGCGAGTATAGAGGATCACAATTAAAAGTTAACACATCATTATTCTGTTCGATCGTCAAGGATCGGACGTATCATTAAAGTTATTGATAATTGGAGGAAAAGAAGGGTAGAAAAACTTTTAACGAATCGACAAGTGTTAAAAAAAGAACTTATAACGAAATGATAACTTTCTTAATACTTTATCGTGAAAAGTGGCATCGATATTCATTAGCTGAAATTATGTGCCAATGCAATGTTAAGCGCAACGTTAGATATACAACCGCGTTTAAAGCTGTTTTCATTTTTCATAATGTTAATTGTTATCACATCGTGACACGCGATAAAAACGGTTGTATAAAAGAGGCCTTAGTCATCATACCTTCATCGATCATCGTGCGACATTGTGCTTTCATACCAAGCACAATAATATTGCTATCACTACGTCTCTGATCTCAAAGAAAATGCAGTAATAAAATAAATTCCATATATTTAAAAAAAACAACATTTTTTCATATATAAATATAATTGTTTAAAAGCAGATATACAATCAAATATATCATATATACAAATATTCTTTAAATGCGTGCTGTAATGAATAATTGCAAATGTTTATCGCGACAGAAATTGATTTTACTTAAATAATTTTTTTTTATATAATTATTATGGAAAAAACACCTGTCTATCAAATACATTTTTAGAGACGAAAATTAGGAGATCGATATGATGATTGACGTATGTATATGATAGTAAGATATAATAATAGATCAATGACACATTAAAACATCCACGACTATAAACTTTATACGGTTACCGAGCTATGTTTGTCCCACAGCTGGATATAGTGCTCCATAAAATATGTATGAAATTTATTTTTAGCGAACGTGGCCTTTACTCGAACGACAGATGGTGTCGTTTTTACATTGAAAAAGAAACACTTTTTGTATTGTTTCGCAAAATTACAGTACAAGGGGCTTTCAGTATTGCTAATTGATTCTCTCAATATTTCTTTCTTCTACACTCGATGATTGATCCAAGATAAGTAACTAATAGCGCAAAGTAACTAATTCTGAATTCGCTAAAAAAAAAGAAAATAAACTTAAAATTGCATTAGAATAGAAAATGTAAATGAAATATGACAGAATTAAGACAAATACACGATGTTTCTCTCTCTCTCTCTCTCTTTAAAATGTGATGTCAAAGCTTAAAAAAGTGTCTTCTATCTTCGCACTCAGTATAGTAACATTCAGAATAATTTATATTTTCCATTATAATACATAATATTTGAAGTTTATTTTCTTAATTTTCCCGAGCTTAGCATTAACAAATAGAGTCTTAGTATTAGGTACATAAAGATAACGTAAGTGAGATATATTGAAAAGTGAACCGCTTTAAACTTACCTGACGGAGCCCGAAGTCACCAGGAAGGGCATGGGGGTCGGGCACGGACTCATAGGCGAGCTACTCACGGAGCTGCGAGTGCTGCTCAAAACAGAGTGCGGACACTGTGGTGGACCCACGTGTGGTCCTCCCATGCCGCTTCCCCCTTTGCTAGAAGCACGACCCTTCAGACACGGGATCTTCGGCCATCCACTTACGTCCTTGCCAGATACCCCTGAAATAAACAATACACGTTTCCGGTTATTTCAGAAGTAAGCGCCGAAAAAAGCTGATGAACCAAAATACACGTGCAGTGAATTGTTGAGAAACGTCAATATTTTTCAAGTCTTTTTAATGATTTAAAGCTTAAAATTTTTTAAAAATCATGTGCAAAGATGAAACTAAACGAAACATCTAATTTTTCATTTAATTTGAAGCGACGAATATTTTTACAAAGAATTTTAACGTATTTGAGAGAATTTATCTAAAAAATTAATTAATTCTCTTTTTTAGAATGTTATACAGTTGCAAAAAACAAAGCATGTAATTAATTGAATTTTCAACTATAAAAGTACTAGCTATAATATATCCATCTTTAAAATATCATTCGATGACTTGGGAGAGAGAAAAAGAGAGCACACTATTATAAATATAAAATAAATAACTCTATAATAATAGAAAAGATTTTAATTTTTTTCCTAATAACTTCATTCAAAAATTTCGATAGTAGAAGTTTTACATTCAATTTCAAATTATATGTGTGTGAGTAAGTACCGCTATTTCAAAAGTAACGAACATATGGACGTTACATTTATTAAACAATGATTCTACATGCAAAAAAATGACTTAACAATAGCAGCTAAATTTCAGTAGCTGAATCAAACTTAGCTGTAAGAGCTATCGCCTTAGTGTCATAGCTAAGTACTAGTTATTATAGGTAAAAAAAATTCACTGTGGCATGAAAATTTATTAGCTGAAATTGAAAGCGTATATTAACACGAGCAGCTATAAAGATAGCAACCGTACCTAAATTTCTTACTATGCGCATACATTGCGGAATATGCTTTATAGCTAAAACATTTAGCACGCGCAGCTAAGTTTATGGGTATGCGCGCGAATCTTCGATTCACAATTGTTTAATTGTTTCTGCGACGCTGTCATTGACAACATCGACGCGTTAAAATAGCTAAAAAAAAAAAAAAATAGCTAATACATTTAGCTTGGGCAGCAACAGTATTAGCTGTCCTTATTTTAAGGACACATTTTAGCTATCACAGCTATATATTAGCTCCTGTTGCTAATCTTTTTTTTCCGTGTATGTTACTTGAAATATTCATTAAAAATTTCCCGACATTAATGAAATTCCTGTTGCTACAAAAGAACAATTTTAAGGGAGAAAAATATAAAAAATAATTATGTTATCATGGAAACTATGCGTGTTGCACGCCCGCTATATGTACTATATTAGAGTCGTTGCGCTCCTCTCGTACCGGCAACATTATTGCAGCGCCAAGATAATGCGACATTTAGTATGCAAAGGGAGAACTTTTCCGACCTCTTTCAAATCCACTGCCATTTGAATATGCACGTTGCTTGTGATTTGACGAGGCGATACGCGCGTAGAACGTCTCTCGGTCGTTTAGATTTCCGTTAAGAGATAGGAACCGAACGCGCATTAGCAAACAGAACGATCAACGTATACAGGGATAACTAGATCAGTTCTCTCTATTTGACATTCGTAGCGGCCAAAATTGTTTCAACGGATTTTAAAAAACACACTTGTTTTTATTAGATAGCATAAAGAAAATTGCGAGCATACCAGATATTGTTGGACGTATTTAATGCAATTACATCCGATTTTCTTTTTTCCTGTGTAACTTTTAAACATAATTATACACAAAAGGAAAATCACTACAAACAATTTTGAATCAAACTATATCAGCGATTTTTTTTATTTTAAAATCGGATGACATCATTTTTTCAAAATGTTATAATTTTGCATGGCTTCCATTACAAACGAAATTATTCTAAACAAACCATTATAAACAAAATATTTTAAAAAAATTTTATTTGTTAAAAATAAAGATGCCAAGCTCACATAAGTATTTAAAATAGATTTAATTCAGATGTTAATATTATTAAAATCTATTCAATATTGATAAAACAAGTTCTTAAAATTTTACATCTTTTCTCCTAACACACTGTATAATTTTATCAGATTTATTATTCACACACACAAATGCAGATGCCCGTTAAGCATTCTTGAAATTACATTTCAATTAAATTCCATCTGTCTACCAACGTCGATGTTGGATAATTCAGACAGGAAGGAAGCTGCTGCCCGCGGATGCAATGCGGTGGACAGCATGAATTTGTAACACGGTCGGACTCTCTCGATGAGAGGATCTGCATAACGCAAAGCAGTATAGCCGGTTCTGCAATTTCGGTCCTCCAACAATGGGAGATTAGCGTTGATAAAGCCTCTGTAGCCCCCGTGTTTTTGTTCCCAGCTATACGTTACGCGTACGAAAGCGAAAGAATGATGGCTACTATCAAATGCATGATTGTACACCATCGCAATGTCGTAATATCCTCCCGAGACAAAAAAAAAGCAAGATAGATGTGCGAACATAATGCGCAAAATCATTTTAATGCGAAAATAATGTATTATAAGTGTGATAAATATTTATATGGCAAGTTTATAATTTGTGTAAAAAAAAAATGATTTATTTATTATAATTCGTTTCCCATTAAAAGAAAAATTAAAAAAAAATCCATGAGCAATGCATTATATATAGAAGCTCTTTTGCCTCTCGTATCATGGCTTAAATTAACAAAATTCATGTCAAAATTTAATAAATTAACGTGAAATAAATAACATAAATTTTACCTTTCAAAAAAATATTACTTATATAAACTTTAAGAAAATACAATACAAAATTTAATATTGTAAAATGAAAGGTTACGGAGATTAAAGACGGATTAATATTTACTGAGAAGATATTAAGTTCAAACTTCTTGAAATAACGAAGATTATACTGACGTAGAATTAACAGAATTTAACTTCAAATATATAAAACAGTATTATAAATTTCAATAATAAAATTGTAAATTAGTTTCTAATAATTGAAAATGAAAAAGAAATAAATATCTAAAACTACTTTTCAGCAATCCAATAACAACTATTAACTTTATCATTATAAAATCATCAGTTTCCTTTGTCTAACAATTTCAATTATCTTCTCTCAACCTCTCGTCAATTCTCGTTTAAGGACAAAAGCTGCGAGCTAAATTCAATTTAGCGACGAGTATGGAAGTGTGAGTTCAAATATACGAATGTTTATGTCACCTAGTTGTCACATATAGTAGTCACACAAGGGCTGCTTAATCTCGAAGTCAATATAGCCGTCACTCTATTTCAGTTAGAATCTCCCGGCTTCGCAAAGCCGGACAATGGTAGAGGAGAATGACACAGCGGCATAGTGAATCTTATGCCGTCGGTACAAATCGCGTGGACAATAAGAAGACATCTCAATCCGAAAGTATCGGAAAACCGTTCGTCTCGAGATGAAGTCTTTAAGCGGAGATTTTCATCGCAGAAGAGGAAGGAGAGGAAAAAGACGAGAGAGGCAGCGTGGCCTGAAAGCGACAACCTATCGGAATTTGTTTCTGTCCAACGTCTTGGATCTCAATAAACTCACGACGAACCGTCAATCGATTACCCGCATCCATGTATCTGTAGATATTATGTCCCAGATTCTCTCCTTTTAATCGCAAATAACGAGAGGGAAGACAGCTGTTTCAATTCCGCGCGTTTTATTAAAAGTGATTAAAACTAAAAAAAAATTTTAGTGAATTAAATTTTAACCATTATAAAATGTGTTTTCGTGATTATATTCTGTTTGCGACACTTCTTTTACATACTTAAGTTTTTCATACACATATATGCGAACAACTACACATGATACATATAACGAAATAATCATTTTAATCAAACCTCTGTTTAATCGACAAAATTGATTGAAACAGGTCGAAAGAAGTCGAAGATTCCACAATTCGGCCATCGGCGAACAGCATTTAATTGGCAGACAGAGCATCACCGAAATTGGTGTAACCTATTTTTGGCAAAGGCCAAGACTAAATCTGTCTGGCTAACACACGTCGCTATGTTATACCGTATTAATCATTCCGTTTATCTGACTGCGCTAGCATGCCTCGCGGTGCACGATAAACCTGACCTTTCAAAGAAATAAAATATACTATCAGATCCCAACGATAGCAAATGCATCCTCGCGAAAGATCAATCGGCGTTTAAACGACGATCGGTATCTGATAAATTGCAAACCGCTCGCGGAATATGCTCGATCCTCGGCGGAGATATGTTATTAATGCAAACCTCTCGGGATCTAAATACTGCTAAAACCGCCGGTTTAATGTTTGTGTGGAATAACTACGCTAGCTATTCATGGAAAATGGTATCATGGAAAGTTCAAGAGATATTTGCTGGGATAATTAACAATTCTCAAAAATCTTACTTACGAAAATAATATGAAAATGCAAAACAAAATGTAAGCAATATTTTTTCGTATCTTTCGCATAAGTAAATACGGAAAATTAGTTTAAAAAGTAAATTTATTCTCTTTAAATATTATAATTAATTGTAAATGATTTTTTAAATATTATCGTATTAAATTAAAAGACCAAAAACGATCCGAAACGTACATTTTTATTGCACATTTGTTAATAAAATTTAACAATAATAAATTCGCGCACCAATATCCGCGCCTTGGCTCTTATCTGCTAATATTCCCACTTCATTAAATTAAAAAAGAACTTTTTTTAAACTTTCTCATATGCAAATTATCCGCTTTATATCTACGAATAAAATTTGCTAATGCATTATGTCTTATGATGTAGCCACACAATAGCCTTATCACGTAGGCAACATCACATAATCTCGCATAGGTATTATCCTGCTAAAATAATGTAATAACATAGAATCTATATATATACTGGTACACATCAATTTAATTATATCGCTACAATTAATATTTTAATTAACGCAGTTCAAAACAACTTTGTTTAATTAATGAAATATCATTATTATAGAAAAGACATGTAAAACAGTGAAATTAAATTAAATTATTTGTAATAATAAATTATAAATGTAAAGTTCCATGATAAAGCGTATATCTAATTATATTAGTTTATTTAATTCAACGACATTTTATTATC